TCTTTAAACGGTGCCCTCTGCATGTTTGGACTTGTTGTTACCGCAGCGCAGCGTGTGTGACCAGCTGCTGGAGATTTTAGTCAAACTAATTTAAATATTTGATAATAATAATGATCCCTATATCATTCTGAACGGATGGTGCTATTTTAAAAATCAGCTTTTCAGCCTTTTGGGCTTGGGACTGAAATGTAGCTCAAATTGGTAAAAATAACTGTTTGGTGGTCATTTGTGTTCTCCCTTTGTTTTGATTTGTAGAGTAATCAAATTTGCCATGACCAAAAACTTTCCTTTTTCCCCCTCCTTATCACAGTGTGCTTGTAAAATCAAAGTGTCCTTTAGAAAGTTCCATTTATCTCGTCAATTCCTTTAATCCAGCAACTGAGGAATCCTTTGAAATGGGTTGATTGGGACATTATGGGGGATCAGCACTTGTTTGTGTAAGTTACGATAACGTGATAGTGCACACACGGTGGCCCATGTTTGCTCATGTCTGGTGGAGGTTCAGGACGGCTAGGGAGACTACGGTAGTTAGTCAATGAATTCAAACAACCTGGATAATTTTCCTCTCCAAAATGTCTTGCTAGTTATACTAAAAAAAAGTTGGTTCAAAAATTTTGGAAAGTTATTTGGCTGAGCATCAGAAAGTAAACGGTTGCAAGTGCTTGTAACGTGATAAATCGTGATGAAGAAAAAGAGAGGTGTTTGAAAACTTGAAGTAATTACCGTAATGTCTCTCGAGGAGAACATCCAGGTCTTATCAGTTGGTTAACGTGTGGGAAGAAGACCGTGTGATATATTAACAGGGGTATAGTGAGAACTGCTGTTTGAGTTTGACATCATTCACTAGATACAGTACAGGTATTCCTGATTATACCTTAGACATCTGAATTAGAGAAGAAACTTGAAAGTGTTTGAACCAAACTTCCATTCTGATGGAGTTCGGGATCAAAGAATACAAAACTAAGGGATACAGGATTGAAGCAAATTTAAAAGGTAAAAGTTGAATTTAGTTTTTAAAGTGGAGACAGCTCAGTCTTAGGTCATATAATTTTAATGTAAATAGTTGATATCGGAGAAGAATGGGTCCTGTTTGAACAGGGAAGGATAGTTAAAGGATTGAATTTGGGTGTTTACTGCAAGGTTGAGGTGTAGTTGTTTACAAGTATGGTGGGAATTCCAATCTGTACCTCAGTCATGCAATGAATGTGTTACCTTGACAGGTGTAGCCTGGAAATTCACTCATTAATACTGGGGCCTGTTTTACACAGAGTTTTAGACCAAATGTTGTTTTTTTACTTTAAGACCAAAACTTTCATGCAATTTTGAGCCAAGATAAAACCCATTTAAATGAAATATTGTTTTGTAGCAAGAAAAGGATGGCTTCTGTTTGAGACTGATAGTTACATTTTTCTATTTGTCTACTGCCAGTTTATCCAGAGCTTAAGTCAAATAAAATTTTGTTCTAATATTTTAGGCCAATGTTCCACCTAAATTTCTTTTGTGAAATGGATCCCTGATTCCTGGAGCTAATTTGAAAAATATTCAGTAGGTTTTATTACCAAGCTTTAATTAGGATTTTAAAAAAATAAGGATTTAAAACTGAGGGTATCCAAGAAATAATTTAAGATGCTTAGATAAATTTTGCAGAATTACAACATTAGAACTGGAGGTATGTATTGAATTATTTATTATACTAATTAACTTTGAAAAGACCTTATACTATATCATATTATTGAGAAGGTTGCACTGAAGAGGTCAGAAGGATAGATAGGTAAAGAGATATTAGTAAACTTGACATAAGGAACAGATGCCTCTTATGTGTGCACCATTTTTCTTTTGAGAAGCAGTACTTCCCAAAACATACGGTATGGACATATTTCATCATCAGGTTGAAACTGCTGAGGGTATTAATACCTTGCTGTGTGAAACAGGTTCTACTGTGAACAAAATGGGAATATTTTTTTATTTGTTTATTTTGAAAATCATTTCTAATCATTTCTGAGTGTTGTGACTACCAGCTCACATGTGATGTGATGCAGACACCTTGTAGACAAATAAATGAGAAAAGAGGGAAATGAAAAGAATGAATAAATAGGTAGGAAGATAGGATGCTGGGGAGGCATTACAGCCTGCATGTTCTTTCACAAGGAAGGTTATATACTGCAGGAAATTGGATCATTTGTTTCTTTCATTAATGACTTTGGTGAAGACGATAAGTTTGAAGATCACGGCATTGTTACACAAAAGAAAATTTGTGTGGTGTTGCGCATCAAAGGACTCCTTAAAAGCTCAGTTTGATGTGACTGTAGTTGTTTGTTGCCTTGGGTAATAAGAATGTTGCCACTCACCTTGGGAGTCAGGAGGCAAGATATAGCTGTGTGTCTTATGGCTTCTTCGACGTAGGTATTACAGGCAAATTTGTTTCCGAGATGACGTCTTTTGGTAAGAAGGCGGGTGGTAGATTCATGGTAATGGGAGCATAATTTGATTTCTCTGCTGATGGTGATTATGGAGTTGGCATGGAGATGCTGGGCTCTTGTATAACATCAGTCGTCACTGAGGAATCTGATAATTTGCAGGTTGGTAAATATTTGAAAGGCTGAGATTACTTTTCAGTATTTTTTATTTTTTCATTACTATTATTATGTTTTTTACTTCAGCTTTGTAACTTTTTTTTTTTGGTGTTTTTTTACAGTGTCGGTGATAAATTGTGGAAAAGGGGTTAATAAATTAATAATTATTATTGTTTTTGCATTTTGGTGTCAGTGAGTTGTCTTCATCGTTTGGGAGAGCTTAGAAAATCAGAAGAGAGGAAAAAACTGTAACGGTCATTACATAGGTCTTGTACAAGACAGGTTAAAAAGTATGTTAGGTGTAATTGTAAATCTTAATACAAGCTGTAGCAATAAGAACAGAATTTCATTAAACAAAAGAAGAAGCATGTGTGAGAAGAGAGGTTGGATGCCACTCTGATTTTGTTACAAAATTTAGGAGAGTGGAATTGTATGACTATTTTGTTACTCGACATATAAATTGGCATTCCTCTGGCAGAGGGGATATTTCTGAAGTGCATGCCTTTCATGGTTTTGGGTTGTTGGGATGACTGTCAGGTGTGGTATTGTATGTTCAAGGGAATTTTTTTTCGACATATCTGTGGATATTTGAAACTGGTAAGAGTATTTGTTTTATTATGGCATTCTATTATGAGTTGTTACATTTATTCAAATTATTTTCAAAAAAAATTATTTTTTAAGACTTATGGTATAAGGTCAGTTTCACTCATATGTTGTCAGGGATGTGTTTAATTAAGGTGAAGTCAGACAAAGATACAACTGGACCGATTTTGTATCTAGATGTTGTCACTAGATAACTTGACAACTGAGTCAGTTTAGAGCCTGTCTGAATCATTCAAATTTTTTACATGAATTGTGTTAAGAATTAACTTACATCGAAAGGCATGTTCACAGTGGATCTAATTAAGTCAGGAAATCAAGACCATCACTGAATGGTCAGTTCTCAGAAACCCCTAAGAGTGCTTATTCTCATTTTCAGCAGCCTGGTTATCTGGTGACACCAGTTGGACCAGATTTCGGTCTAAGTTTGTCTGGTGTGAAAGTAAAGGGCATCATTGTATCTTCAAGTTGTTAACCCGGGTTCCTAGATATTGCCTGCTCTACCTGGAGAATTAATTAAACCTCTCAATCACTGGCCCGCTGAGAAGAACTAATTAAACCCCTCCATCTTCGGCTGGCAGTGTTACACAGTGACAAATGACTTGGCATTTCAATATTGTTTGATTCCTTACAGTGGCATGTGTTGTATAACTGACCGTTGAGATTGTGCTGCAGAGGAGCTCTTGAAATTTGGTTGTCAAGGCTCAGTTCACATGTACAAATAAGAAATGGCTTTGTGAAGTTCTGTTTCTGATGGTTTATTCCATTTTATTTTTGCTGGCCAGGTGCCTTGTGTCCTTCTTGATCTAGTCTCTCCTGGAACTTTGACAATAAGGGGCGGGGGGGGGGGGGGGTGCTCTTCATAATCTGATTACCCATGTGACTTTGTGTTTATTTTTTCCTTTGTCCAGTCTGTTCCGGTTGATTCTGAACTATTCTCCCACAGTGCTGGTTCTAAAGTATTTTTACTTAAAACTGAATGCTGCAGAACAAACTCTATTTTGAGTATGTGAACAGGTCCAAGACTTCAGATGTTCCTCCACTTTTAGATTTTCTGAAAACAAGATGGAAAATAAGGAGGAAGTGTTTGACTTTCATTGTGAAATGTTAGCAGAGAGTAACATCAGTTAGCTCGTGACCTTTGTCTCTTTAGAAAAGGAAAAAAAGACAACTACAAAACAAGGTAATTTGTCATGAGCAGATATCAGTACCTGAAAGATATAAAGGACTGATTGTGCTGTCTTCAGAAATATTACAAACTTTTGATGTTGTCGTAGCATGCATGGAACAGTGGATTTCAGCGTTTGTCTGCTTTGAGAGTCTGTAATAAGTTTGTAAGGTCACATTGTACAAGCTGATGATTGGCAATGGGGACAAAAGAAGATCGTCTATGAATTGTTAAGGTGAAATTAGCACCCAGTGAAATATAGGGATGAACATGGTTGTACATGTTAACTTACATATAGTCACATAGAATGGGTTGTAGGTTGTGGTTTGAATACAGGGACATATCTCCTGAAGAGTGATTTCAGTGGGTGATACTTGCAGCAGATTTTTTTGTATGAATTAATGTATTATTGTTGCTATTGTCATTATTATAATTTTTATTATTTATTGAAACTTAAGTAATAGTAGTTTAAATCATGGGTATCTCAACTTCAGATTTCTTATGCATACATTGTTATTATTATTTACTATATTATTATAATTATTATTTCTGTTGACACTTCAGCATTGACATGCATTGTTGTATCCTCATCTGAATGGGTAATTTTGTGAATCTTTTGCTATTGGCTAATTTTTTTTTCTTTTTTTTTTCTTCAACAGCAAGGTAAAAATCCCATGCTCAATAGACCTCTCCCTGCAACACCAATGGAGGACAGAAAGACCCCCAAAAACAAGGAAGGTCAAAGGTCAAGCTTGGCAAGTGAAGGCCAAAGGTCAAGGTCAAGTCTGGCCAGTGAAGGTCAAAGGTCGAGGTCGAGTTGGTCCAGCGAAGGACAGAGGTCGAGTTATGCCTCTTCAAGCAGTGACAGTGCTAGTCTTGCACCAAATTACACAGCTCATGTGAATGGAACAGTTAAACAAAATGTATACAACACACGTTATCAGAATGACAGCCCTTTTCGATATAGCAATTGTCAGAATGGAGCAGCTGGAACTTATGCAGTTGGGCCCTCTGGATCCACAGGCTTGCCATTAAGGTAGGGTGATTTTATTTGAGTGTGGCTGATTTTTTTTTTTCAGTGAAGAGTTGTTCGTTACCTGCCAAAAAACAGAATCAGTTTGATGGCTACATAGCCAAGTTATCAGCCTTTGTTATGGAGCTGACATGTGTTATTGTTTATTCTTTTTTACTACTCATTATAGAGCAAAGCGTTTTAAAAGGAAAAAGGTTTTCTTTGAAGATATCCATGCACCAGTTGAGAAGGAGTGTCTACAGTCAGCTGGTTTGAAAACTAGGAGAGTAATCTAAAATCTGTTAGCAATAATCCTTCCTCTCCCACCATCAACTGGTCTGCCAAACAGACATTATATCATTACACACGCTTATAAAACACAAATACCGACAAGATATACTTAAAAACTAAGGTATGGGCTCTAGGCTCAGCAGATGCCAAAAAAAAAAAAGGTTGTGAGATATGTGAAGTAGGCTAGTAATACAGGAGCTCTCTCAACAAAAGTGTTGTACAATAACTGTGCAAATCCATCCAATAAAGTAGAAATTTGTCAAGAGAAAGAGAGAGCTGCCAGTTTTGAATAGCTTTCTGCTGAGCAAGCAGAGTCCTATTACAATGGTAACTTAAGCCAGTGTCAACTCAGAGATAGCAGGACCTGTGTGTGTGTGTGTTTGTGTATGTGTGTGTGTGTGTGTGTAGGAAGGGGAGGGCCGGTGCTAAAGGTGTGGTCACCTTAAGAATTTTAAACAGCTTTCTGAACCAATGATCAAAAAAAAATAAGAAGAAGAAGAACAGTATACAGATCTCACTCCCTTCAAAAATTATTAGATAAAAGATTTTTTAATAAATATGTATTAAATATATATCATCCCAAGCTCAGCACATTGTCCACGTGAACAAATGTAATAATAGATTTTTCTTTTATGTTTTCTTATTTTTGGCACGTCATCTTGCATACATTTATAAAATATAAGCCTGATCTGGGAGCCGTCTGATAAATACAGACAAAAAAAAAAAAAATCAAAAAAATGCCTCAAGTTCTTTCAGGTGACAAAGAAGGTATAATACAAAGTAATTGTTTACACAGGGAAATCCCTTTCTTTCCACAAGTCTGGTTATATTTATACTTGAGGATAAAGTAAATCCATATTCAATTAGGACAGTTAGGTAAACAGGTTGACTATTTTGGAGGACTTCTGGAGTAAATTACACTTCAGTGTCTACAGACCATTTCAGACTGATTTTAGGCCTAAAGATTACGGTAGTTATTCCACGAATTTGAAAGAAATGATTTAAAATGGTGATACAATCAGATGTTTTGAAAAAGCTATGGATTTGTGTAAGAGAGTAATTGGCGAAAAATGATGAAAAAATAATGTTATATTATGAAAATGAAAAGTTACCATACTCGGGGGATATTTTAGGAATTAGATTGTTTGATTCACACAGATATATGTGTGAGTGGAAAATGGGGAAGACCCCACTCTACCACATAACTGTAAATACCTGACTTTACTTTTCACCCAATTTTCAGTCCAAAGTAGTTCTCTTGTGAACAGACTTGATTTGTTGAGCAGAATATCAAGTAGAGACTATTTTGTATGTTTGTGCCACCTTTTTAGACAGATAGTTACGGAAGCTTACCATCAATCTTAACATGGGAAAAAAAGAGAACACCAAATTTGCTATCCCCAGGTGAAATTTCCACACCTTCATGTAGCGTGAATTTTCTTCAAAATTAGCATTATAAATTGATAATTTTAGAGTTAAACTGCAAACTTCTAACTTTTGTTTTAAATATCTGTCTGCCTTTTAAACACATTTTCTTTCATGCCATTAGAAAAGTATTTTCTGGACTAATTGAATTATACTGGCTGATACTGAAAAGGCAAAATTCAACACCTTGGATGTGGGGTTTTTTCAAAGATGTGTAAGCCTATAAGGCTATATACATTAACATTTTCATTTAATTACACCTGAGAGATTTGCACTATTAGAATTTGAATGATGCTCTCTGTGGGAGTTTTTGACAGACTTATGAGCCTCTACCTACAGCCCATTAGTCTGTGAAGGTAAATATGCCTCAGCAAGCAGCCATCTTTAGATTTTTTTTTCGATGATTTTGTAAGAAGTTTCAAGCCCATTCAAGTATAATGAGAGATGAAGTCATTTCACTAGTGAATGTGGAAAATTTAAATTGCATAATTGATTTACTTGAATAGTAAATATAAATCAAAGTTACCACATCACTGAATTCAGAAAAAAAGGAAATAATCAGACTTACAGAGTGGGTGGGGTCATACTCAACACGTACCCATTTTTCTTCCTATATTCTGTTTGAGCTCAGCAGGTATTAAGGAAGTGACACTTTTTTTAGATAGACTGTGTGGTGTTGTTATTTAACGTCTTTATAGGCCTTGAAATAATTCACTTAAACTGAAAGATATAAAAGATGTAATAGAAGAGATGTCACAGATAAGAAATTCATGATGAGTTGAGGAAGTATGAATGGAGAAGTTAGGCTTTAAGGAAATAAGGCAGGTAAAATGTATAAGACTATTGCAAAAATGCAAATAAACTTTTTAAAAAATAAAAATAACAGAAAAAGGGTGATCATCTTTTATGGATAGTTGAATTCTCAATTCATTAAGCAGATAACCCATTTGTTGTTGATAAACATGTTACATTCAGTGAAATATTGGAAAGTAATACCCTCAATAAAGAGACATGTTTGCTACACAAGGTCATAAAAAATCGGGTGCATGTTTACTGAAGATAGTAGACCAGCTGATACTGTGACAGCAAGGAATGCAGATTAATGTGTTGTCTGCTGTATCTGCACTCAGTTGTGACCCTTTTCAGACCACCATTTGACACATTGACCGGTTGTGATTTTGCCTTTAAAATGCCCCCCCCCCCCAAAAAAAAAAAAAAAAAAAAATATATATATATATATATATATATATATATATATATATATATATATATATATATATATATATATATATATATATATATATATATATATATATATATATATATACACACACACACACACACACATCTACATAACAATTTAGATGTATATATATATATACATCTAAATTGTTATGTATGCCCTTCCATAAACTGCCCTTTTTAGTTTAAATTACTCAGTTCAGTTGATTGAATATTTCTTGACATGCTGAGCAGCAATTGCCTTGATTGCAATTTAGATTGCGTCAGACTTGGTATACCACTGATCCCTGTGTAAACACGGTTTCTGGTTCATCTGTATGCAGCCTGTTCATCCCATAGTTAATAAAAAGAACTGTTTATGTCAGACGTGACGGATAAATATAGCTCTTTGGAAAAAATATTGCCCCATGTGAAGTTTTGTGGTTCAGTTTATATGTTGGTGTCAGACACACCACCTGTTTGTTTATATAGTTTAGATGATGAAAAAATATATAGGCCATGTTTCATCAATATTTTAAGCTCCAAAAAATAGGTAATTTGTGATTTTTTTATGAAGACAAGCAAAAATTTCACATTCTTTTAAAAGCTCATCTTATACATATAAGATTAGACTGCAGAAAGATAGAATGGGGTTTATAAATAAATTAGGTAACATGCCAATACCAAAATGTCATTAAAAATCCATTAAGACAATATTATCATCTTGTATTGACATAATTCAGTTAACTAAGTACACAAGTAACTGAGACAGAAGCAATGTTCAAACAACTCTTCCCTTTGGTGAAACTAGCAGAGAAATTGGTTTAATTAAGGAGAAATAATATAAGAACAGGGAGGTTCATGTATCTATCTAATTACTCTCTCTATATATATTATCAATTAAGCGCCTATGAAGTCTGTTCAAGAAGCAGTTAAAGGTATTGTTGTGAGTAGCCAGTAAGTGGAAAACGCACATTGGCAGTGGAATGAAAAATCAATACACTTCAACAGAAGACACATCTAAAGATGGAAAGAGGGACGGCCTTAATATGTGGTGTCGTTTAATGGATTCTTGACAAGATTTCCCCTCAGAGAAGTCTGGTTTAGTTTCCAAGAAATTAGTTCTGGGAAATAAGACAGGCAGTGGCGTGATCAACGCAGCATGATAAATGACTGCAAGTTGACTGTCGAAAACCAAAAACGGATTTAGTGAACACACACAGGAGACCTGTGAAGAAGTGGGTTTGTACTGGATTTGTGGTCACAGACAATTGCAATAAACTGACAGGAAAACACTTGTACTCTCGTCTGCCATGGGAATTTTTTTTTTTTTTAACATAGAAAATTACCACAGATTGGAGACAGGATGGGGAAGCAAATAAAGTCATTAAAATATCATCAAAAACATATCAATATATGCTTTGAAATGGTTTGTGGTGTTGGTGCATTTATTTGTGGTACAGCGAAAATATTGTAAGAGACATTTGAGATGAGGACTGTGGAAGATCAGGTAGTCCACGCAGAATATATGGGAAATACATTGACAAACATTTGACTACTTAATTGTTATCGTATACTTTCAAAAACACTTGAAGAATTTTTGAAAGAAGAAAAAATAAACCCAGCAGATCGAATGACAAAGAGTCACGCTTTTCTAGGGACCTTATGGAAACCATTCTATTCCATTCCATGGCTAGTATTATGAATAATTGACTGAGAGAGTGAAGACATTTACAATACTTGAAAGATCTGTGAGAAATTATTAACGTGTGTGCAGACGCCTCATTACTGCCTGCCTCATTAGGCAATCTACAAGCTTGACAAGGCCCTGATTGATGTTCAGACTGGGTGATACATCTTAAAAGTGCAATTATTTCTCAGAAAATTAATGCCCAGTGGGAGATTCAGCCAGGCAGGAAGGTGAGAGGGTATGTAGTGGGACAGCAGAAGCAGACGGAGATCTGGACACGCTCAGTTAGCTGACGGCAAAGCTTGACGGACCTTAATCACTGCGCAACATGTTTTAGAGTGACATTTCTTGAAGTTGACGTATTCCACCTAAAAAGTTTAGAAGTCAAAAAAAGAGACAGAGAAAATACATGAACAGAAAAGTTGATACTCTAGATAATTTGTCAAGGAAATTTGGAATTGGAATGACTTTGGATGTTAGAAATGAGGTTACTGGTGATATGCCAGCCTTGAGAGCAGCACAAATTGGATGATACATTTAACAATGGCCTTTCTGGAGAATAATTGGATCGCGGCATATAGAACACAGAGGTTTTAATTCTGGAGGGGAGACGACAATGGATTGATGTTCTGTTCAGGCTTAATTGGATGATTTATCTTTGAAATGAAATTTTCCAACTGCAATTCTCTCTAGGATAGTTTGCAATTAAACCTAACAGATTGGGCTGGGAGATTTCTGCTTAATTAGATCAGAAGCTGAATCGTAAGAGAAAGAAATTAATCAGCAATGCTGTGCCATAGTTTTGATTGAATGAGAACTGGCATTTTGTGGCAAACGAAGTTTATGTAACGTCAGTCTTCTGATCAAGGTTTACATTGGAAATGACATTCACTTTCAAGGCAGAGAGATAGAGGGATATTTATTTTACCTTGCGAAGGTGTAGAAGAATACTTTTCTGATAAGTGTATACATTATATGACTGTTGTTTAAAAAAAAGACAGTTTCAGTGTGAAGAAACAGCTTTTGCTAACATTTAGAATTACAGCAACATTATTTTGTAGAAATTAGAGTAGTGGACCCAGTATTAATTTTCACAAGGATAAAGGAACAGATATGCATTCAGACCAAAACGAATCAAAGGCTGCCTGTAGAAATTGAAGCATGATTCGAATGGATATTCAATTTAATCCTAGAGAAGTGACATTTAATCAGAGATACTAGTGTGAGGAGAGTGAAAAATAATGGTAGAAGCTTAGCAGTAGTCATTCTTCACACTGTAAACAAGGACTGACAGGAAGTCGAAATTCAGGAGAAGAATTTTAAAGACCGCTGTGACATGAAAGGAAATTAGAAACTGGAAATATTAGGGTTGTACAATACGGAAAGAGGTTGGACCATTAAACAGAGTTGGTTCTGGCACATTCTTTCATCCAGACAACAGCTACACCAAAGGAATACACAGGCACATCTTACACATGAAGGGTTTGAGCTTTTGACCTTTTCTACACACTCTGGTTGCAGAATCTTGAACAGTACAATATAGTACCAGCCATATTGTACAGTTAACTTAAAGAAGTTTACAGGGTGATGGAATATCATTGAGACTAGCATCTTTCTTGTCCATGTTGTGAGGGATGTGTGGAGGAAATGGAGGAGAAAAAGCAGCAGTTCTGTCCTAACTAGTTTATGGCTGATCATATAAATACAGACTTCCATTGATATGCTGTGTTGCTTCAAGAACTGGTTGATTTTTATGTCATGAAGGAACGGGGTTGAATCTCTAATTATATTACCACAGCAGGAAACCTATACAAAGTGTGATTACCTTGAATTCATCAAATCAGAAGAACAGAAACCGAATTGCTAGAAACAAGATGGATCAGAGGCTGACAAACCACCTGTATATGAGTAAACCAGGTTGTATAATAAGAGAATAATTAGACTGGATTTATATCCTGTGTTACCTCGAATGTGGATTATGTTAAGAATTCTTGATTACAGTATATTGAACGGTCAGAAATCGTCTGAACAATCGCAATCAGAAAAATACACAGTGAAGAGAAAGACCTAGTGCCCCCCTCTCTCTCTCTCTCTCCCATATCCCCATGAGTTTATCAAGTGTTTTTAGAACAATACTACCAAGAAAAAAGATCAAGTGAAAAGGTAGCTTTGGTGCTCTTTCAACCCCCCCCCCCCCCCCTCCATTTTTGGCCTTCTGTTTTTCCCTTTTTTTTCTGGGAAGAATAGATGAAATGTAGACTTAATCTACAGCCTACCAAAACACTAGACTCATCAGATAGATAGGATAATTTAAAAGGAAAGGATCATTTGCATTCAAACCTCTACCGTCAGGCTGATCTTTTAACAAAAAGCATCAGACAGACATTGATTTTACAATTATCTCTGAGAAATAGCCTGCTGGTAGATCTGTCTCTGACGGCTTTTGACTTAAAGACCACCATATTTCATTGGATTGCCATTCCCATATTGTCGACACATTTCTACAGCAGTTAATCTGGGGCAGGTCGTAATAATTCATGAAAGACTAAAGAGCTGGGAACACAGTCTGTATGTACTCTTCTATGTATGTATGTATGTGTACTCTAGATTTTCTCCTGGAAGTCAGACATTGATTTACCATTTCATACTGGGGTGATTTACAACAATTCGTCAGGAGTAAAGAGACAGAAGTCGAGCAGGCAAACACTTCAGTGGGATAATTGAATACTTTACAAGCAGACGTTCACTTCATCAATTGGGGACTTCAGTAGAAGTTAATAGCAGGAAATCCTGATGTGGAGGGAGAAGGAGATATTGAACTATTGGGGCATCATTGGATTCCTGCTACTGCAATAAGCTGTATTGAGCACTCTGTATTGTAAATTAATGATAAGCTGGAAGATATTGCTGACTCAGAAGCTGTTCCAGAACTTGGCTGCTAGCCTTTTTCAGTCTGATGTTTCAGTAAATGTAAATTTGAGTATTGATTTGAGATTACTTACCACTACTCCTACAACTGTATTTTCCCTATGAATGATTAAATTTGAATATCCAATAACTGTATAGTACGGGAGCTAGGAAAGGACATATTTAGATTCATTTGGAGTATTCTAAATGCTGAATATTTAGTGAGAGTTACAGAAAAAAAACTCCTTCTCACCTGGTATTTTAACACTGACTCTCTGACTGTGTTTCCAGCCACTGATGTAACAATTATGTCTCAGAAACTGCCAAACCTTAGAATTTCCTGCAGATTTTCTGGCAGACGTAACATTTTCAGAAGATATTACAGCAGGCACCAAATGAGACGAGGTTACGCCATAGTTTACAGGGGATTATAAATAACATCGTGCACTAAGAATCCAGATATACACATGCACGTAAATCAGCATAAAATGGCCGCCATAGGGAAAACCAATTGATTGCGTTATAGATAGACATGAAGTGGTGGAGAAGAATTCGCAAGTGGGTGAAGTGGAATCGCGGCCAAGGCGGTGCTGGGGGGGTTAGGTCTCAGAAACATGTCTACACTGGAGGATACTGTTATTATAATTATGTACACAGGTAGGGCAATGTTGAAGAGGGCGTTTGGTACATTTTGTGTAATTTTCGTCTTTATTTTCTTTTTTAGTGAATAAAAGTTTGAGCAAAAGGCACTGATGTGTCAAAAATTGAAAGGATAAGTTAAAGGTCGTCATAAATAACAAAATTCCTTTTACCAGTAAAAGTTTGCTGAGTAAAAGTGATAAAAATTTTCAATAGCAGACAGTTATTAATGTTGGTGTACTTTTTGGGTTTTCTACTTCCTGCACTACGCAAGGCAGTAGAAAAACGCTCTAGATATCAGTCAGGATGGGATGTGAGTTAAGAGGAATCGAGACTTTTACCAATGCGGTTGTCAGTGTAACTGTGTGTGTATGGGTGGATGGTCTAGACATTTGGGTAAATTTGAGTAATTGTTGTTTATAACATGACCTTTCATGTTTAAATGCATTAAGACAACATCTCCATGTGCAAATAAGCCATTAATTTCAACCTGCATGCTAGATGTAGATAGTCTCTTTGACTTCCAATTACAAGAGTACATTTTTGAGGTAAACTTTACAGTTTGGCTGGTTAATTTGTAGATTCTCTCTCTCTCTCTCTCATGAATCTACACATTTTGACAACCAGTTCCATATCAATTTATAAGTGTACAAAAATGTAATGCTTTAGTCCCCTTAACACAACTGTCACATTATGCAGGCCCGTAGCGGAGGAGGGGGAGGGGTCGAAAGAACTGCCCCTTTTGCGTGGAAAAGGTCCACTCTGGGTAAATTTTGATCTAGGTACATGAAGTTTTTATGGGAAAAGATCCACCTTTTCAAAAAAAAGAACCCCCCTTTTGAAATTGCTGGCTATGGGCCTGTTATGCCATGAAGATATCTAAGGCACTGATCAGATATGGGCATGTCAAGTACAGGCATTTCTAATTCTGTTGTACTTTTAAATATGGTAGTTGCTCGATGAATTTGAATTGTATGAATTGATAGTTTTCTTCCTAATAAATTCTTTGTTACTAATACCTTATTTGTTGATTCAAAAGTTTTGACTAGTTACTACACCTCGCTTTGAATCAGAATATTCATATTTTGTGAGTGTTTAAAAATGATAAATCTTGAAATTAAGATTAAACATTAGCCAAAAAAAAAAAGTGAGGCATTTGAAAAATTTAAGTCGTTACCATACTCAAAATGTCTAGACAGTGGCAAGGTTTGTTTATCACCAAGCATGTGACCTGAGTGTGTGAAGAGGTCACGAGAGGTCAACATGAAAGTTGAACAACACAGCCATGTCTCTGTACAACATCCCCCGACAGCTTCTGTTTGACTCCGGCAAATACCAAGTTTAAACAGTGGGAATAAGAATACCTAGCAGAGTTTGTGAATTTTTTCGATGAGGTCAGGATTATTCCTAACCAGTAGCTGTCTTTGTGACTGCTTTATGAGGTTGCTTATTATAAACTCATGTGCACAACCCAAATGGAACAGATGTTCAAGGGTTACTTTATAGTATATATATATATATATATATATATGGACAGTTTGTTGATTTTAGCCATTATATGTAAACATCATTATTTTTTACTTAGATTGACATTGTAAGAGACCACCAGCATGACAAGACAAATGTATATTAAATGTTACTAGAATTAATTTATTTCATTTAAAGTTTTTGAACACTTCACTTGTTTTGCAGGTATGATTCTTTAAGGAGGTTACAGCAGCAGGCAGAAGCCGGACACGAAGATGAAACACTAAAGATGGCGCCATGGTACCAGGCAGGAATTCCAAGGTATTTGACGGCTTGGCTATTATGAATGTCGATATTGATACTGTATTGGTTCTATTTTTTCAGGTAAAATTTGGTAAATTTGTTCAATTGCTAGCCACTGTTTTTAGAATCTTATAATCTGATGATAGAAACAGCCAGAAGGACTAAGTGCTATACAGCTTTTTTTTTTATGAACTGTCCACTGTTGTAATCTTTCCTACCTCAATATACAATTTTCTTTATTGCAGGGAGATAGCCTTGGAAATTCTACACCACGAGGACATAGGCTCGTTCATTATCCGTGACAGTACCACACACGCAGGGTGCTACGCGCTCTCAGTAAAAGTTCCAAAGTTCGACAACCCAACTGGCATTGCGCACTATTTAATTCAGCGAACACAAACTGGAGTTCGACTGAAGGTATGTATGAAATACCATGGCTGGACTGACAGCAATGTCCGACTCCTGACTTGTGTCATAGAGGTCACCACTTGACCCTTTCTCTTTCAACCAGTTGTTGTGTCTTCAGGTAACAT